GTTATCAGCGGATATATATAAAGTCACAACCCCTGGTATGCCCAAATATGGGAGGAAGGTCACACTTCCATTCTCTGTCCTTCGGCTCGTCACAAGAGACCATCCAGACAGAAACCCAATATTTTTTACTGTTGCCTTTTTGTTACATTTGTTATATTTGTGCTGATAAATAAATATAACAAATGTATATAACAAATGTAACAAAAAGGCAACAGTAAAAAATATTGGGTTTCTGTCTGGATGGTCTCTTGTGACGAGCCGAAGGACAGAGAATGGAAGTGTGACCTTCCTCCCATATTTGGGCATACCAGGGGTTGTGACTTTATATACATACATACACATATATACATACATACATACATACACAAACATACATACATACATACATACATATATACATACATACATACACAAACATACATACATACATACATATATACATACATACACATATATAGCAATTACATTTTTATGCCCCCCCCCCCAAAAAAAACTTATTTTTTGGCCAAAGTGTGGGCCCCGTTAGTTTCCAGCTGTTCTCATAATAATATTGTATAGTTATGCATCATTACATGCCCCAGGTTTTTAGTTCTCTCTTTATAAACTCAGTTATTTTTTTCATTAAAAATATATTTCAACTTCCCCCTCCATTTATCTCCCATATCATTACTTAGCTTACATTTAATTATCTTTTCATTGCAATCCTTGCTATTCAATGCTTATCACAATTCTATTAATCTGCTACATAACATGGCAGGCAACATTCACCTACTTATATTCATCTTCTAAAAAGTTCTATATGTACTTGTCTGCATTATATCCATATTCCAAATATTTTAACTTATATATAATTATCTTTTCATTATCTTTATTATTCAGTCAATTAATGACTCCTCTCTGAGCTTACCATATTTTTCAGAGTATAAGACGCACCTTTTTCCCTCAAAAAAGAGGCTGAAAATCTGGGTGCATCTTATACACTAAATACAGCATTTTCTGCCTCGTGAAACCCTACCCCCTTTACAAAAATGGTCATGCATCGCTTGTAGGAGGCTTTCAGAGAGCTCCTGGGGGCTGGGGAGGGCAGAAATTAGCAAAAAACAAGCCGTAAGCTTCCTAATGCCCTTTTTGACATAAAATAGGCCCGTTTTTGCAAAAAACGGGCACTTTTTTGCTCGTTTTTGAGACCCTTCACACATACCCCCGAACACTCTACAAGACTCCTGAGGGCTATTCATGCCCTTTTTTGAAAAAAATGGGCATTTTTGCATAAAACGGACCATTTTTAGCAGGTTTGCAAAGTGCAAAAACTTTTTTTTTAATTTGCCTCTTCAAAACCTTGGTGTGTCTTATACTTCAAAAAATACTGTAGTTGTTTTCTTGCAGACCTTTCATTACCCAAATTGGTAACTAGTAAACATCTGCAAGAAAACAACCAAAAGCTCAGAGGGCACCAACAACGCCTCACCCCAAAATGCCATGCTCAGAACCAGCCTCATAGGAGACTTTATTTTTCAGTTTGTTATCTGCTGTTCCTACCCCTTGTGGTTTTCGTCCTTAAAAGGACTGAGAAGCATGGCTTCCTGTTGTGGTTCTACATAAAGTAGGTCAGGGGCCTGCAACCTGCGGCTCTAGAGCCACATGTGGCTCTTTCATCCCTCTGCTGCGGCTTCCAATCACTCAAAACACGCATCACAACTGCCAATTTGCGATACCCGCCCTGCATGTGATTTATTGAGGTTTTCAATCTTTTTTTTTTCGGAGCTCAAAATGTTTTTGTTGCATGCAGAAATAAAAATTTGTTTTCTCTGCAGCAGTTCATTGATTTCATAAATGCAACACACGCTATCATTTTTTTATATACATAGCGTAAAGGTAAAACAAAATATATGCAGTGCTATCTTCATTTTAGATGTCAGAAGGGTTTTGTGGCTCCCGGTGTTTTCTTTTTTGTGGGAGACAGGTCCAAATGGCTTTCTGGTTTAAGGTTGCCGACCCCTGAGCTAGGTGTTGTATGTCTTTTGCAACAGAGACGTGGCCTAGGAATTTTGGACACAGAATCAGAAGAGGCCACCAAATGCAATGGACTATCGTATTTTTGGGAGTATAAGACGTGCCTTTTTCCCTCAAAAAAGAGGGTGAAAATCTGGGTGCGTCTTATACACTGAATACAGCATTTTTGGCCTCCCGAAACCCCGCCCCCTTTGCAAAAATAGCCGTGCATAGCCTTTAGGAGGCTTNATGGTGTATGAATTATTTGTGTTGTTATTACAAGTGTTGCTGTGACCCCCTAGGAAAAGGTTATGCCCCGCCCTGTACATGGCTCAGAATGGTTAAGAACCGTCACATTCCCACATGCTGAATGCTCTGCAGCATGGTTATGATCATGCTTGCTTATTGGCACCTTTACTGTGTTGTGAGTAACCTTCACAACAGGGCACACGCTCCAAATTTTGAGATTGCAACACTCCCAAATTTCCTGCTAGCATCGCTCAAGGTTACACAAAGAACGAAGAGTTCAATGACTGGAAATGAAAGAAACATCCATGTGGAAACAGGATTCTTGGAGAAACTGAAATGTTCCTTTTAGATGCAACAGTGCGAACAGACTTTATAGGAAACCGAGGACCTGCAGGATAAAGCCTGCTGGAGAGAATGGACAGAGATCCCAAATGTCCTTTCCTCTCTCTCTTTCAAGATATTTCCTTACTTGGGTAATATCTGCCAGAGGTTCTTCGTCCTGCACCAACATCTGGGCAAACTGCTGTCCTTGGTCCGGGCTGATCCGCATGACGTTTCTCAAGAGGAAGATCCAATCTGGAGTGTAGCCAACCTAGGAAGGGCGTGTGCATGCCCCCCCGAAAAAAAGAAATATTTTGTTAGCTTTGCTGCATTTTTTATGCTGGAGTGTGAGAGCATCCTGGGATTGTCTGCATTTGGTTCGGTCCCTTTCTAGATTGAAAACGGAAAAAGCTCAACCCAATTCGTCTCCTTGCAGAGTTCGCAGACCCCAAGATGTTATTAACAAAGGAAAATATTTACAACAGGGTTGAAATAAGGGGTCATTGGTGCTCTCTGAGCTTGGGTTTTTTTTAAAGTTTTTATTTTCATACAAATAACCACTTGTATACCATTACATCATAACCAACACTATTTTGTATTATTCAATATTATATCAATTCCTCTTACCATCAACCCCCAAAGACTATCATTTGCTCTTCTGCTTTCCACCATATCTTCCATCCACCATATTGATAGCCTATCCATCGCTTTCTTGCCTCTTCTCCCTCTCTCCTCCTCCCTACCTCCTTTCTTCCCTCTATCATCCTTCTCTTCTCTACTTCCCCTTCCTTCTCCTCTCCCCTCTTTCCACTCCTTCTTTCTCTCCTCCTCCCTACCTCCTTTCTTCCCTCTATCATCCTTCTCTTCTCTACTTCCCCTTCCTTCTCCTCTCCCCTCTTTCCACTCCTTCTTTCTCTCCTCCTCTTCCCCCCTCTTCCCTCTCTTCTGATGCCTCTCTTCCTCCTCTCCTCTCCCTTCTCTCTTCCAATCTCTTCATCTCGCTTGNCTAACCCTAACCCTTAACCTAACCCTAACCCTTAACCTAACCCTAACCCTTAACCTAACCCTAACCCTTAACCTAACCCTAAACCTAACCCTAAACCTAACCCTTTTTTTAATGAATCTTGCTTGCTTTTAAAGCGCTATTTAAAGCGCCCTTCTTTCTCCGCGCTCGCTGTTGTCGCCCTGTTGATGACATCAGTGACGCGGTTTAATCGGGCGCGCTTTAGTCGAGCACGCTTTTGTCGTGCCACGCCGCTTTAGGGGCATGATCTGGTGACGTAATCAGCACGTGAGTTTGTTTACTTTGATGACATCACTGATCAAAAGTACTGATAATTTTCATTAAAAAAAGGTATTTACTATATCTACTGAGACCCAACAGTACTTGAACTTCAAAGCTTGTTCTTTATAGCCTACACACACATACACAAATGTTTGATTTTAGAAATGTAGAATTCAGAATTTGCAAGAAAAGCACTTGTAAAAACAGGGGAAAATAAATGAATTGGCATGTTTAAAAAGAGGAATATCCTTTCTTATTTACAGAAAGCAAAGCTATAGTCTTATACTATACTCAGGTGGGAACCAATTACTACATCTAGAATATAAAAATCTGGGCAATCATTAGTTGACAGTGAAAAAAAATACAGGACACAAAATCTCTTAACTGCTAATTAGTGATTGTTTAGATTTTTGTATTTTACATCTGCCATCCCTATTTGATAAGATCTTCCTGTCAAAGCTCACCTGTCAAAACTCCTTGGCTTATTACATTGTGCAAACCTAGCTGTCAGTGTTTGAGAAACATGATTTATGCTTTAGCATTATAAATCCAGTTAATCCTAGTTCTTCAACATTACTCAAACTTCTTGTGCAGTACTGGCCACCATATCCTGTAGAAAAAGATTTTATTAGTAGACTCGTAGAGACAAGTTGATCATTCCTGAAACATTTCATTAATAATCCTTGAATCATTTTGCAAAATCCACTTGCAATTCAAAGAGCAGAAATGGAAATTAAATGGACTCCTCCAGTTCCAGTGATGATATCAGGCTAGTGTTGCAAGAAGTTAGGCAATTTGGTTTTTAACTATACATTTTGGAGGGAGAAAGAAGCACAAAATGTGCCAGGTAGGAAAACTGGCATTAAGATTCGGGGCGATTTTCTGATAATACATTTGATAGGAGATCGAAGTCCTCGTGCTTTCTGCTAGGGAAGGAGAGAGTTACGGGAAGAAGAGATTTACGTCATTACAGTGACCTAAAATTCGTTACGAATAAACAGGTTCCCTAGTTCTCATCGCTGCAGTCGTAGCACCCACAGCAACAACCCCCGAAATCGTTTGGACGACCTGCCTCGTCTCCCCTCCCGATTGTCTCCGGCTGAACCGTCCTGTCAGCCGCAACCCAGTTTCTGTCACATGACGACGGCCGCCCTTTCAATCTAAGCGCTGTCGGATAACATAAGAGGTGGGCGGGGACCGGGGCAACAAATGAGAGCTTGGGTGCGCATCGCTGCCGGAATCTAAAGGAGGCGCGAGGCAGCTTGCACTGGGCAAGAACGCGGCTGCAAGAGCGACGGGGTTTTCTGCCTCTTTGAAGCATCATGGATCGCGGGGACGAGGCCGTCGTTTTCGTTGCTGCTGCAAGGACCCCTGTCGGTGAGTAGAAGCTATTCCTGGGGCCTTTTCCTGCCTCGATCTGGTATTGCTCTGAAAGGGACGTTTTCATGGACTGACATCCCCGCTTTGCTCCCAACCTTGAACGGTCCATTCATTCTGATGCCTGCGGGAAATTTGCCTTCGCCCGTTTCCCCCCCCCCTCCTTTTATGCTGCCGGGTATGGGAGGAAATCCTGTACTTTTTCTGACAGAAAGGTAAGAAAATGAACCGAGCTGGATTGTGGTAGGCAAGCTTGGAATTGGTCTGCGAGAAGGGGGTGGAGAACTGTAGAACTGCGAGGGCGGGAGGATATAGGGCTTGTTAACTGCTTAGGTAATCATTAAGACTATTCGGATAACAGATTGGAAACGGTCTGTATTTCTGGGAGTCTGATGGAATTTAACAAGTTTTAATTTCAGCTTGCCGTGTGCAAAAGAGCAGGCTAAATCGTTATTTTATCGTATTTTCTTACCCTTCCACACCACACCGACATACCTTCTTCAACCTGTCCTCCCCAAAGCTCGAGCCGACTTGGCACCTTCGCTCCCTTTGTCTTCAGAGCAACCATCGAGATACATTAGGAGAGCAGTTTGACACACGGGAAATTATTAGCAAAGAGGCTATCTAGACTTCGTCACTCTTAAGCTCCAGGTAAACGTTGGGTGAAATCCCTCCCGCCGCCCTGGTTCTTTTCTTTATCAAATTCATTCACACACCCTACCCCACCTAAGTGCCTCAAGACGGCTTGCAATTAAAAAAAATGGGTTGATGCTAATACGGTAGAAACAACGTATTTCTTCTACGGGGGGTGGGGGGTGGGGGGAATGGATCCCCGCTTTCTTCCCCGCCCATCTGTTGGCTTATTCACAGGAGTTGCTTTGTTTGTTTGTCTTTTTGCGTAATCCCCGAAGCTCCTCCCTCGCCTGTACTTTTCTCTCAATGATTGGCCAATGCGTTATAGAGCCACCGCCTGAAGATGCGCTGTGATTGCTTCGCGGCTCTTGCTGAGGAATCCCTCTTGCTCTGATTGGCGCTTGGCCGGTAGAACCAGAACGGTCTGGTCGCTGGCTCTTCTTTCCTCCCATGAGTAGAACCCAACTCCTAATCTTCCATCTATCATTTATTTATTTATTTTGTCAAACACGTAGGAGATAACAGGTATAGCAAATCGAACATGTACAAGTATACATAGGACACAGTACAAGGACATAGCAAGTGTAAACATGGACATGAATGAAAGAAATGAATACAAATAAAAGGGGACAGTAGGACAGGGACGGTAGACATACTGATGCGCTTATGCTCGCCCCCTTTATGAACCTCTTAGGAATGGGGTAGACAGTTTAAGGTTGAAGCTGTGGGGGTTTGAGGATGTAACGACAGAGTCAGGTAGTGCATTCCAGGCGTTGACTATTATGTTGCTGAAGTCGTATTTTCTGCAAACTTCTGAGTTTGGGGCAGTTTACTTTGAGTTTGTATCTATTGTTTGCCTGAGTATTATTGAGGTTGAAGCGGAAGTAGTCATTGACAGGTAGGACGTTGTAGCGACAATTTTGTGTACTGTGCTTAGGTCAGACTGTAGGCAACGTAAATAAATAAATAAAATAAATAACAGTAGACTTATATACCGCTTCATAGGCCTTTCAGGCCTCTCTAAGCGGTTTACAGAGTCAGCCTATTGCCCCCAACAACAATCCGGGTCCTCATTTTACCCACCTCGGAAGGATGGAAGGCTGAGTCAACCCTGAGCCGGTGAGATTTGAACCGCTGAACTGCTGATCTAGCAGTCAGCCTGCAGTGCTGCATTTAACCACTGCGCCACCTTGGCTTCATGTCGTCCAAGCCAATCTAGAAGAGAATCTAAACAACCTTGGAGACTTGGCTTCCAAACACAGTATTGCATCTTAGTTTGGGATGGTTGTTTCCCATCCTCTTTGATCCTTTCCCCTTCTGATTAGTTCTTCCACATGGTTTTATGTATTTATTATATTTATTAATCCATCCATCCATCTCACTGTCAAGTGATCATGGATGACTTACACTATCAAAATGATAATACAAAACAATGAGAATGTTAAAAAAAATTAAGGGTTAAAAATGAGCACGTTGCAAGTTAACAAAACTGGATAAAAGGGATGGCTATGTAAATGGCATGGGGTGGGTTCTACTCTTAATTTACTAAACAATTCCAGAGTGGGATGTCCCCATTGGGCCCCCCAGCCAGTTGGCAGGACCAGGTTTCCAGGACCTTTCGGAAGGCCAAGATGGAGGGGCAGACTGCACCTTGAGTGGCACAATATTTCAAAGGCTGAAAGTCACAGCAAAATAAAACACTTTTCCTGGATTCCGCCAGGTAGAATTCCTCATCTGATGGGGTTTACAGCTTGCCTTCCTGATGGAGCAAGTACAGTTGATCAGTCCCATTTTTCCTAGAGTTTTGTATGATAAGATTTTTTTAAAAAAAACTTCTTAAATCAGTTTCTTAAACATCCATGTAAGACATTAGAGACATGAATAATTCGTGAGTATATTTAACAATAAATTAATGGAGACTCTTGTACATATAATCAAAAATTAGATGATCCAGGTTTTTCTCATTAAAAGAACTGTAAATAAAATGTATTTGTTCAAATAGTTATATTTAGCATAAGGAGGAAAAAATAGATACACAAAATTGTTTGTTGAGGTTTACTAGGTATAACAAATTGAATATTGCTTTCCCTTATAAAATCTTGTACTGTACTATAGGATATTATCTGATTCATAAATGAATCTAGTGATTGTTTAATTTTGGTAATACAGAGAACTGACCAAGAAAATGCTACTATATTTGAAGAATCAGTTCTCAAATTGTTTGACCAGATAATAAAACAAAATGCCAGACTTTCAATGAATAATATACATATATCTTAATTCCCAAGTATACCCATGATAATATATTTGTTTATTTTCCTAGAATTGTAATCTTTATATGTTACCTAGAATGCTTAAAAGAAGAATAGAATGGAAGGAAAGAGGGAATGGAGTAGAAATAAAACACACCTATTTCTTATTTTTATATTTTATCTAGGATCCTTCAATGGTGCCTTGTCAACCCTGCATGCCCATGAATTGGCTTCAGTAGTCATTAAAGAATTGTTGGAGAGGACAAAAATTGATCCTAAAGAAGTATCTGAAGTTATACTTGGACAAGTATTGACTGCAGGTAAGAACTTGATCAAGCATTTATCCAGAATTTTGAGCTGGATTCCATTTATGGTCTCTTTTCTTGCGTTTATGTAATGCGGAAACTGCACACACATAGAGAGAAAGAGAATGAATTATAGTTCTTTAGTTTTACTTATTTTGAAATTGTACTTTCTTTCTTCCCATATGTTTAAGGTTTCAATCTCCCAAACTAGCAATTTGTGTAGAAATGTCTAATGTTCCTGGAAATAGCAAATGAAACAACTTTGACATCTCCTTCTTATTCTTGCATAGATTTTCCTTCTGCCATTCCTTTACTTGTTGCAACAGAAGGGCTTCCAAGTATGAACGCATAAATCAGAGAGAAGAGTGGGTGGTGGCAAACAAGGACAGGAATGTCATGAAGAAGTCATGGTCCTTTCTTTTCCTACAATTCCGGGTGTGTTAAATCACCCACATGACAGTCTGTTCTAACTTCCTGCACTGTTGCCCATACTTTACTGCTTCAGATCTCCTTCTAGTATTTTCCCCTTCTAATTTAACCTTCTTCAGTTTCATGACCTGCATATGTGTTTCTCTATGAAAGTCAGTATGGTGTAGTGATTAAGGTATTGCACTAAGAGTGAGGAGATTCACCTGACCTATTTCTCAGTTAGAAACAAACTATTTGGGTTATTTTGATCCTATAAATGCAGACCAACCTTAAAACAAACATTTACATTATGATGGTTAAAAACAAAAATAGAACCATACACTGCCTTCACCTATCCACAGCAGTGTTGAATATAGCCCAAAGACCATGAAGGTCATCCTAAGAAAATTGAGAATTAAATAACTTGAACAATTAAGACATGGGCATTGAAATTAAGAGTGAAACATTCATTTTTACAAAGCAGCACCTGGAAACAAGAGGTGGGTTATCAATTTGAAACTAAAACTGGTTATGAGTAATTTACAGGCAAATAACATGGGTACCCATCTGTCTGTCACTAAGAAATGATGTAGGAGAATGAACTTTTACGTTCATTTTAGTATAGTCGTTCCTGTGTGTTTATTTCTGTAGGTGCTGGCCAGAATCCTGCTCGACAAGCCAGTGTTGGGGCAGGGATTCCATATGAGATACCAGCTTGGAGTTGTCAAATGATATGCGGATCAGGCCTGAAAGCCATATGGCTCGGGGCTCAGTCTATTATGACAGGAGATTCCAGTATTGTGGTGGCTGGTGGTATGGAAAACATGAGCAAGGTAAGGCTGCTTGATGTTCAGAGGTATAAGGCTTGCTGCTCCTAAGACGCTTATGCTGAAAAGGCATGGAAGTGTGATTCCCATCGGAGAATTTATTGTATTCAAGAGTACACAAGCTGTACATTGAGCCTTTAGAAAGAGTGACTTCTTTCTCACAAGTTACATCTGCAACCCTAACAGCTTGGGCTTCAGTGGGCTGAGGCTTGACAAAACTTCAAAGTCCCTTCCAATCCCATTATTCTATAGTTGCACCGTGTCCAGCCCAATTTGAGATGCTTATTGGCACACAAGCTTAAGCAGAGTTATTAAACCACAGTTTGTTAAACAAGACATGACTCGATGCCATAACAAATCATATATGAACACCAATATCTAAAACTTTAAGTGATTGAATTGAGTGGCTCCATACAACACTAGGAGATCAAGTAATCATGCTTTCCTAGATTACTTCCTGATTCATGCAAAATACAAAACCAAATAAATCAGGAATTTTTTGCATTAAGATAGAATGACATATTTTTGTGGGTATATAAAGTTTCTTGAAGTTTAAAAAGTTTATAAAGCATGGTCCAGTTTTTAAAAAATACCCTCACACACAACCATGTCATTTCTTCAGAAGAATTAGCACTTTGTGCTAAGAAATTGCTTAACACTTTATGCTCAGCCAAACCCAAGTAAGAACTCCTAGGGCTTTGGGTTAGCAGCCACTAATGCAAGAATTCCCCAAAAAACCTGTAGGGCAGGAGTAACAATTTTACAGGAAAAATGGGTTATTGCTATTCTCTTGAAGAGAAACGAAGTTGAAATAGACCCAAGTAGTCATTTTTGGGGGAGTAAGGGCGATTGTACAGCTGTGGTTTAAATGACCCTGGATAACTAATATGTAGCTTTTTTTCTAGGGTTTTTCTGGTTTTTTTTTAAACCTGAGTTATTCCAACCATGATTTATCATGAATTGAACTTACTCACTCTTTCCTTTGAATCTCTAGTATATATGAGTAGAAGTAGTAAGGAATTAGTTGGGCAAAGAGAAATATAGCTAGAAAGAATTTGTTTATTGTAAGTGTGTGAGAGTACATAGGGTTAGATTTGTTACATATTTATCATTGCATGTGTCTATACATACATACATACATACATACAGACAGACAGATAGAAAGAGAAGGAGAGAGGGAGAGAGGGAGAGAGAGAGACTTACATGATGGACATATACACAATCAAGAAAGAAAAAATGCCATTGTTGAAGTTTCCTTCATGCTGATGGCATTTGGACATTGGCCTGACATGTCATATTTGAATGGCACAATTTCTTCTGAAACTTCCATGGCAGAGGCCAAACAGTTCTTCTGATCCTTTTGTCTTACTGTTGCTGCTGATAAAAAATACCAAGGGGATTATTGTGCATATAGTGAATGTCTATACTTCTTTCAGCTACATATGCCTCTAGTCTTAAAGTGAAATATTCTTTAGCTTATTTCAAGCCTTCACCTTCCTCCCAACTAGAATTCAGGAGGAAACAATATGGAAACTTCTTTTTTCTTACAGTCTTTCTCAGTCGTACATACCATGTGATTCTTCTAATGGGAAATATCAGGAATTGAAGCTGAGACCTAATGCATACAAAGCATGTACTCTACAACTGAGTTGGGATACCTTCTCTATATTAGATTTACTTATGACCAATGAATGGAAGGATCATTCAGTGAGAGTGGGCGCCTCAGAGGTTATTTACATTCACTTCTAAAGAAAGTTGCTTTCTATGTCCTAAATGTGCTAAAATATTTTTCCCCAGGCTCCTCATGTCATTCATTTGCGTAATGGGGTGAAGATGGGGGAAGCCTCTTTGCAAGACACTATTATCGTAGATGGCTTGACAGATGCCTTCTACTGTTATCACATGGGTATTACAGGTAAGCCACATGAAAATAGCATTGACAAGAAGATTGGATGAAAGTATGTCCTGGCTTTATTTGACAGAAAAAGGAAGAGTGGAGAGAAAGCAAGAATTATAAGGATGGGAAGAAAAATATTGAGCAATGTCCAACTTCAATGTAGGCTTGCCAGGTGTAATTGCAATGAATCCCTGTCCCCACACACTACAAAGGAATAGAAATACCTACTTAAGATCCGTGGTGGCACAGTGCTGCAGACTACTTCTGCTGATTGCCAGATTCCAACAGGTCAGCAGTTCGATTCTTATGGGCTCAAGGTTGACTTAGCCTTCCATTCTTCCGAGCTCGGTAAAATGAAGAGCCAGATTGTTGTGGGCAAGATGCTGACTCTGTAAACTGCTTAGAGAGAAGGTTGTAAAGCACTGTGAAGCGGTATATGGTGTCTAAGTGCTATTGCATGTATGATCTAGGAAGAAAAGGTAAAGATAAAGAAACCCTATTTAGGGTTACATTCCCCAAGCAAAGAGCCTCTCCCAGGTCATCATTGTACACACTGAAAGCCAAATTGGCACAATGGTTACTATGTTGCACTAGATGTAGAAGGCCCAGGTTCTAATCTATCCTCTGCCAGGAAAATTCACTGTACTTCAGGCCAGTCTCTCTCTCTCTCTCTCTCAGTCCCACCTATCAAAATAGGAGGAAGGAGTGCTATATGTAATATCTGGAGCTCTTGCCAAAAGGTGTGATATAAATAATAAAATAGTAATAAATAGCTACAGTTTATTCTATAATCAGTATAATTGCATTTATTGTATATTTCTACTTATGTTTAATGTATATTACATATGCAATAAATATAATAAGTATATAGTAGCTAAATTCTGATGATTGTGATTAGAGTGTCTACTGTATTTTTTAATTGTTTCAGCTGAAAATGTGGCCAAACAGTGGAAGGTTACTCGAAAAGAACAAGACCAACAGGCTGTAATGTCACAGAACAAGGCTGAAAATGCCCAGAAGGGTGGATATTTTGATAAAGAGATTGTACCTGTGGTTGTCCCTTCTAGAAGAGGTCAGTGAGCAGTTTGACATACTAGACAAGGGGCCAGGACCTGTTTCTTACTATAATGATTCATCTTTGTATTCATTTTTATTTGCTTCGATTCTTCCTCCCTCATGTGTTAGACTAGTTGGTGTATTGGGAAGGCAGAGACAGTTAGTAACCTCAGGCATAATTAGTTAGTTTTTACTGCTAGATGAAAATAAAATTGTGAATTTAACCCTTGTGTGCTGCCAATTATAAACATCTACACTTGCAAAAGAGAAGAATAATTACAGATCTAGAAAGAATGTCACCTATCATTACTGTTTCCACAATGTCAGTTTTGAACTGGTTCATAGGTTAAACCAAAGTTTCTTCCTGTTTCAGTAACATGTATTTTTTTTAAAAAAATTGTATTAATTTAATAGTAATTTAAAGAATATCCCAATTTTAAAATTTCTCATGAGTTAATTTCAAGAGTTACTAAATCAATTTTTGGCACCTTATTAGGAGTTTAATATATTTATCTGTGCTATAGTTTGGTTAATAGCGATCTATTGAATAAATCACAGCAGATGGGCTTTACTTCTTACGTTAATACAAAATCAACCAAGCAACATAGATTGGGTTCATACTGTACCTAATCCCCAATGTAGAATTCTATGGGTTAATATATGAACTCAGTTTATCACTCCTATGCTTGAATACATATAATTAAAGAGTGTAGGAAATCATAAAACAGTTGTGATTGTCAAATGCCAAAATCAAAGTTTCATTTGTCTTGGTGTCAAGGAAAAAAATACAAAAGTGGTTTCAAAGTAGAAACAAAGTCCTTTCTTTGATCAAAATGTTTATTCATCTCTGCCAACTCCATTCATTTCACCATCAGTTCTTCAGTTCTTCCTTTGCCGGTATCCCTATGTCCTTCCATCCCTGTGGCATACAAAAGTCTTGCTGATGTTACCATAAATAAAAGCAGGCCCATTTTTTTCAAGAAATGTATCCATCAAGCCTAAAAGAGAAATATCTGGTTTCAATTCTGCATTCCAAGAATTCTCTGAATCAAGGTACATATCTGATCCCAGTATTTCTTAGCCTTTATCCAACATATGTTTGACATATTCTTATACATTTTTGACAGGTAAAATACCATCAGTAAGGGCAGTGTGTATCTTTAATGAAAAAGAATGAGAAGTAGAATTACTAATAGGAAAATTCCCGCCTTTCCTTTTTTGTAGCAAGTATAAAACGGCTGCTACTGAAATATTTGTTTTTGACAGGCCCCACGGAAGTGAAAGCTGATGAACATCCTCGTCATGGGTGCAACCTAGAAACAGTGGCAAAGTTGAAACCTTGCTTCATAACCGATGGGACAGGCACCGTGACTGCAGCAAATGCCTCAGGTTGGTTTGTTGAGCAATTTAAAGATAAGCTATAAAATTGGATCTTTTCCAGTTGCAGCAATCTGATTTGATTAAGGATGAAGAATAAAGGGAGGGGGTACATTTTTCTAATTCAACTGGTACAATTTGGATTTAGTGAAAAAAAATATGAATTATTGGAGTGTAGCGTTGTGTGAATAAGGTCTTGGATGAAGAATGCAAAGGACCAGATAGAAAGTACATTAAATTAAAGAAAAACAAACAAAAAATTCAAAATTGTACCTAATGCTAAGTCTGGCTCCCTCAAAATGGCAAAAAGAAGAAGAAACCATGCTACTGCTCATTAACTACAACTGCAAATGTTTTGATTTTGGTACTACAGGTAGTCCTCGAGTTGTGAATGTAATGGACCTTGCCCATTCCATTCGTACCTCGAGAATTCGTGAGAGTGAATCTCGTACCTTGAATGAAATGACTCCATGCTTTTGCCAAGGCATTCGCTAATTTGGGATTTGCTCAGTTTTTAAAGGCCTCCTAGATATCTATGGGGCATTTCAAAATGAAGCAAATCCCTCTGATTTCAAAGGCCTCATACCAGGGGTGGGTTCCTGCCAGTTCTAATCTCTTCTATAGAAGAGGTTCCACAAATCTACAGTGCCGTTTAGAACCGGTTCCAGCTCCCTCCCCCCACCCGTCCGCACATCATCAAGATAAAGAGAGGAGGATTTTTGGAGTTGATGTCCACAAGCCTTAAAACTGTCAAGTTTGAACACCCCTGGGTTTTTTTTCTAATGGGTTAGGGGTGCAAGGGTCTTGTAACTTGACAGCTTTAAGACTTGCGTGCTTCAAATGCCAGAGTTTCTGAGCCAACATTTTGGTTGCTAAGCAAGAGCATTGTTAAGTTAGTTTCACCACATTTTACAAGTTGGCCACGCCCACCCAGTCACATGGCTGGCAAGCCACTCCTACCCAGTCACATGGCCGGCAAGCCACTCCCACAAAGCAGACCACACCTACAGAAAGGTTCTAAAAATTTTTGAAACCTACCACTGCCTCATAGGTGCCTATGGGATGTTTCAAAATGGAGGGATTTGCTACATTTTCCCTGGCCTCATAGCCATCTATGGGGCATTTCAAAACAAAGCAAATCCCTCTGATTTCAAATCCCTCTGCTATTGTGTGATATCAGGCACCCAGGAACTTCCATCAATTCTCCTTTTGCTCAAAAGCAAAGTAACCGCAGCAGAGAGGAGACAGATCTTGTAAAGTAAGTTATTCCTTGTTCGTAAACACTAGGGGGTGCTAATCTTGTAACGTCAAACGGGCTTTAAATGAACGCTTGTACCCTGAGATTACTGTAATTTTCAGAGTATAAGACGCAGCAAGGTTTTGAGGAGGAAAATTTTAAAAAAAGGTTTTGCACTATGCAAACCTCCCAAAAACAGCCCGTTTTTTTCAAACAAAGGCACAAATAGCCCTTAGGGGGCTTGTATGGCGCTCCTGTGTGGTGGGGCCAAAAACAAGAAAAAAGACATGGATAGCCTTTAGGAAGCTTCTAAGAGTGCTTCGGGGAGCGTGGGAACGGCCCATTTTTCGCTCATTTCTGCCCTCCCCAGCCAGCTCTCTGAAAGCCTTCTAAAAGCTATTTTGGTGAAGGGATGAAGTTTTGGGAGGCAAAAAAATGCTGTAATCAATGTGTAAGACGCACTTAGATTTTCAGCCTCATTTTTGAGAGAAAAAGGTGCGTCTTATACTCCGAAAAATACGGTAGGTGTATGTACTCTTCAATTAAATATGAACTTTCCTTTTTTTAAAAAAGCATCTATATATGTAACCTAAGAAGTTAAGAGTTGTTTCAGAGATAAAAACCATGTCAGCTTAAGAGAGCAGATCTTAGATTTTTTCCAGGAGAAATTTCTTTTTCTTTCATTTCTTATCCTGGCCAAATTGAAAAAAATCCACTGGAAATTACTGCTTTATGACGGAAATATCCATGAAGATAAAACTGGGCAAAACTGCTGTATCTATCAAGCTTTGTTAGATACTTTAAAGCTAGGTTTAGTTGTTTTTCTCTTCAGGTATAAATGATGGTGCCGCTGCTGTTATTCTTATGAAAAAATCAGAAGCAATTAAACGAAATCTCATTCCTTTGGCACGGATCGTGTCTTCGGCTCAAGTTGGTATTGATCCTTCAGTTATGGGAATAGCACCCATCACAGCAATAAGAAAAGCTGTAAGTAGGGAACGGGGTCCATTACATTGAATTAATATTCTGAAAAACCCAACTGTTTTTTAAGCATAGTATATTCATATCGTAATACGTATAGCCCATCTGTATCCTAATGAATTATGGTAGCTTTGTTAATAAATGTTTCATTTTTTCTCAGTATTAGTGAATTTTTCCAGGTATTTTTTCTGGGTATTAAATGTGTGTTTGTTTATGCACTTGTGCATGTGGACATATGTTTTTGTGGAAAGAAAACAAGTGCATTGGTCATTAGTGAAGATTGAAGAGTTAATTGAATTTTGCATTTTTATCACAGCTATTGGAGGGGATAAGTCCAGTATCAGTGCCAACATTGGAGTTGTATGCATTTGTGGCCCTTATTTGTTTAAATTCCAGATTAGAGTTTATTAAGATACAAATCAGTATTTTAAATATTTTAAATTTAAATTTAATATTTTAAATTTAAATATTTTAAATTTAAATTTAAGTATTTTAAATGATTTGAGCATTGAACAGTATTTGAAACCAGTCTCATTTATCTCAAATTATTACAAATTTGGGGAAAAAATAGAACACATGGTTTTTAACAGAATTCAGCCACGATTTTTAACCATGTTAACTGAATGAGCTTGTTGACCTTTTGCAGGTGGAAAAAGCTGGTTGGACATTGGATCAAGTGGATCTATATGAAATTAATGAAGCTTTTGCTGCATTAGGTGTTGCAATAACAAAAGAACTAAAACTCAAGCCAGAAAAGGTATGTTTAAAATTGCAAAAAAACACAATACCTCAAATATTGCAGATTAGTTATAGCATGGAATGCATATGCTGCTCCAGATAAATAGAGTAATGAAATATATTTTTGTCTGATGCAAACATGCAATAATGCTAGGTGGGATGGAAAGGGTAACATTCAAACTAGTTTTGTCATCTAAAATAAATTGCAGGACATCAATTTGGGGAAACTTGATAAAACTATATAGATGGGGGATTCCTTCTAATGTAAATTGGTATTCAGTGATTAAAAGCTTACGGTATCTTTCTCTGTGTTGTGATCCTGAACCTTTCAGAATCTTGTTCACTTTTTAAAAATCTGCTTGATAAATGTAAAGACATATTAGAATTCTTTTTTGGCCAAGAGCAATTAGATTGACAGACAAGAAATTTGTTTGGACATACAAGGAATTGATTTGATTATTTGATTGGACACACAAGGAATTATTGAACATCAGATAGAATTTGGCATTCCGTGATGCTAGTATTCAAATAAAATGTCATTGATTTTTGGAAAGAAAGCTTATGTTGAACTGTAGAGTTCTAGTAGCACTTCCAAAGGAACATATCTAGGCAATGCAATGCAAAGCAAAAAGAACGACCATTGACTTACCTGAACGGTCCTTCTATATGTGCTGCGAGGGGAATCCAAGCATGGGTTAACTTTGTCCATTAGCCTAGAGACTGAGTTATGTAAATGTTGATCACGCCCCCTCTGACTGGATGGGTCAGTTTTGTACGAAGTCAGCCNGCCGCCCTGAGTCCTTGGGAGAAGGGCGGCATATAAATCGAATAAACCTAAACCTAAACTAAATTAACAACCGCAGCGATTCACTTAAAACTGTAGCAAGAAAGATCATAAAACGGGGCAAAAAATTAACAACTGTCTTACTTAGCAATGGAAATTGAGGTTCAATTGTGGGTTTTAAGTCCGGGACTCACTGCATATTGTTAGTAACATTACATTATTTAAACCCTTGGGAACTTCTGAAAAAAACCCACTTGGCTACAGTGGTGTACGGGCTACAGCTAAGGAACCCACACAATAAAATAATATATGGAGAAGGCCACTGTAGCTTTTTAACTATTTAGCTCACTCTGACCAAAACTAGGGAGAAGGCACCATTTTCCAATATTTTGTTTTCTAGATGTGGAAATGGAAAACTGCCATATTGTTATCCACAAAGTTCACTATTGGATTTATGTTGCAATACACAGAGAACAAGATGCTACGAGTAGATGTGCCAGTACAAATTGTGATGATAAAAATGTTACCAAATGTCATTTGCCATGTCATGACCCATCTTTTATACTTGTGCCCTGAAGTTGGATGTATATTCAGAAGCTGCATGGTTTGTTCTACAACAAGTGTGGCTTCTTTTTTTCATTCACACCCCTCTTGTATTGTGTCTTAACATTCCTAGGAAAGTTACGCTTAAGGTTAAACATTCCTACGCAAAGCTTGTTCTGTATGTAGAAATAGACACCATTCCCTTGGGTACAATCATCTTCACAAATCTTTTCCACAGCCATGAAACACTATTCCATGCCTTGACAATGTTTTTTCTTCTCCTAGTTTTCAGCTGCAATACCGTCTTCTGAATCAATCATTCTGACATCTATATTTCCTTCCAGTTGTTTTCATCTCAAAAACAATGGAAAGATGAACAGTGAAGACGGCTGTTCCTATTTTGGTTCAAGAGATCAAAGAATTCTTTTGAAGTCTTCACGTTGTTGTTGTTTGTTAAGTCATCTTTGCCTTTGTCTTTACAGAGCTGAGAACACTTCCGTATTATCCTCCCCATAACCATCAGAAAGCAGTTTAAAGAGAAGAAAGAGAAGAAAGGGGGGGGGGGTAAGAAGGAGGGAGGGAAGGAGGGAGGGAAGGAGGGAAGCAAGGAGAGAAGGAGAGAAGAAAGGAGGGAAGGAAGGAGGGAAGGAGAGAAGAAAGGAGAGAAGGAAGGGGGGAAGGAAGGAGGAAAGGAAGGGGGAAAGGAAGGAGAGAAGGAGAGAAGAAAGGAGGGAAGGAAGGAAGGAAGGAGGGAAGAAAGGAGAGAAGGAAGGGGGGAAGGAAGGAGGAAAGGAAGGGGGAAAGGAAGGAGAGAAGGAGAGAAGAAAGGAGGGAAGGAAGG